TTGTTTGAGGATGGTTTTCTTATGCAGATTCCAAAGAAAATAATGTAATTTGACCCTCAGTTATCACAACTGAAGCTTGCCTGATAATACACACTTGGATGGAAGAGCTATTCACTTATATCTAATCAGGTTTAAGATGGGTTACAAGTATATTTGTTTTGAAAAATTACTTACAAACGTTCGGTCCATGATTATTTCTTCCTTGGTAGTGTCTCTGTACCAAAAGCATCAAAAAGGCATAGGAAAATTAAATATAACACCAAATACATGAAGGAACAAGTTCAGGAGAAAGAGAACTCTGAGGCAGAACAGTAGAATCCCCCGGCTTGGGATCTGAACAATACTAGGGCTCCAAGAAGACACTTTAAAAGAGCTGGGTCATGATTTGCATACCAAAATGGTGGCAAGCCTTTAACTTAGCAATCACACTTCCAGTAACTTACCCCATAAGAGTACCAGCAGGGATGAATAAAGATATATGTACAAGGGTGGAAGTAACTGAAATGTCCATCACTAAGTAATTGGATAAATACACTGTGGCACACCCACATAAAAGAATCTTCTGCAGTCATTAAAATGCACAAGCTAAATCTATATATATTGGCCTCAAAGGATGTCTATGATGTGTTCTAAAGCAAGAAAAGAAAGTTGTAAAACAGTATATCGAGTAGGATCCCATTCTCTTAGTAAACGCATGGCAACGAATTTAGGAGAATATACAAAATAAGCTGTTAACCAGAGTTCTTAAAGTAGGCGGGGAAAGGGAAGTTTCTGGAGATTTTTGCTATCCATGTTATACATTTCTGTAAAGGTCTGCGATTCTGCAATGGGCACATATCATCTTTGTAATAGGGAAAAATAATAGACACAGTTGTTTTTTAAAGAATGTACACGCCAGACATTTCCAATTTTCTTTTAATAACCTATCATGGCTTTACTTCTATTACTTTCTATGAACCTTCCTGAACCTATTTATATTTGAACATTCAAAAGAAACCAAATCCCAGTGTATGGAAGACAGGCAGTCATGTTTAATGTTTTAAAAATCAGCCAACCATGGTATACCAGAGCCATGCCTATTTTTCAAAGGGATTCTTCTGGATGTTCCTTTAACAGGGGACTAGTATATGTGCAGGGCAAGAGCAGAGAAAATAGTCCTCAGATGACCAGTTGCCTTTGTCATGGTCTTCTTGATACTACTCAATGCCTGCCAGTTTCACTGCAATCACCTCTCGAGATCTGTGCCCCAGGCAAGTCTTGAACTAGTCAGTATTCCTCACTTTAAACATTTCTAGTTCCCTTGGAATTTCTAATTCCTGAAAGTGCATTATCCAAAAATAAAAGGCCTTATAAATCCTCACGCATTGGCCAGCCCTAGCCTTTCATCCCTTTAAGGCATGATTTTTTTTTCTAAGTCACAGAATCATAACATTTTAAAGCTAAGGGGGGCATTAGGAGTAACTGAGTCCAATTCCACTGTTTCCCCTATTTATTTTCTTATGTTTTGTTCTCCCATTGGCTTTATACCCTCCAGTAATAATACAAACTTCTTCCTCATTCCGAAGAGAACCTTCACTCAGAAGGGAAGATACAATTAAAGATGCAGCAGTCTCTAAAGCTCAGACAAAAACAAAGGAGATACTCTCGAAATAAGAACAGACCCACAGACTCACATACCTGCTTTTAACTTGAACAGCCAAACTAGCAAGAGCAAATTCACTGTCCTGAAATATAGAATTCAACTGTAAAAGACAAAACGTATCAGTTATAGTATTTCTGTGTGTCTTTCTTAATCCAGCAAAGTTAACCTGAGATGATGTGATCATTAAGCTTTGTTCATTATGTCAGTTGGTTCAACATTTCCAACTGTTCTGCTCATCTTTTTTTAAATTATTTTCAAATAATTTTCCCATATCTTTTATTGAAGTACAGTCAGTTTACAATGTGTTAATTTCTGGTGTACAGTATAATGTTTCAGTCATACATGTACATACATATATTTGTTTTCATATTCTTTTTCATTATAGGTTACTACACAATGTTGAATATAGTTCCCTGTGTTAAACAGTAGGACCTTGTTGTTTATCTATTTTATATATAGTAGTGTGTATCTGCAAATCCCGAACTCCCAGTTTATCCCTTCCCACTCCACTCAGCTTTTCAATGTACATTTTACCTATTGTTATGGGCTGAAATGTGTCCCCCACCCCACCCCCACCCTAAATTCATATGTTGAAGCTCTAACCCCCTAATGTGACTGTATTTGAAAATAGGGCCTTTAAGGAAGTAATTAGGGTTAAATGAGGTCATAAAGGTGGAGCCCTAATACAATAAGACTGATGTCCTCAAAAAAGAGGAAGAGACACCAGAGATTGCTCTCTTTGTGTGCACACACACAGAAAAGGCCATGTGTGAGGACACAAGAAGGTGGCGATCTGCAAGCCAAAGACAGAGGCCTCACCAGAAACCAACCCTGCTAGCACCTTGATCTTGGACTTCCAACCTCCAGAATGGTAAGAGAATAAATGTCTGTTGTTTAAACCACCCAATGCATCCTATTTTGTTATGGTAGGCCTAGTGGATGAATATACCCATCCATTCTCAAGCACTTATAATCATGCTGTATACATTTGAAAATAAATGCTGATGGGGAGGAGGGAAACAGACATCATTTACTGTTGGTGCGCATGCAAGTTGGTATCACCTATCTGGGAGGCCACTTAGTGATAGCTATTAAAATGTGAGATATTCATGTCCTTTGAGCCAGCAATTTCAGTTCTAGGATTTATCCTATAGAAATACTTAAGCGTCCCCCAAATTTATTGCAACGGCATTACTGTCAGCTTTGTTTTCAAATAGAGAAAAAAATAGAAACAACCCGAATGTTCACCAAAGGATATTTGGATTAAAAGAAACACAGGCTGAAGGATCATGCTGACACCAAGGGTTGACAAAACATTGTAAACTGACTATAACTCAATAAAATTTTTTAATAAAAAAGAAATACTACATTACAACCATCTAGTGACCTCCTACACATTTGTTAATCTATATGACGTAGATTTATATTTATCAGCATGAATACGCTTAAAGATGCATGGTTAAGTGAAAAGAAAGCAAGTTGCGGAATAGCGTACTTAGTATGAGCTCAATTATTTTTGTAAAAAAAATACATGCATCAATGCTATTATATATATAGAAAAAAATCGGAAAGAATATACTGCAGACTGTTAAGAGGAATTAATACAAGAAGGGATAACAGAAAGGACATTTACTTTCTGGGTTTCAGTTTTCAGCATCTGAATTCTTTTACAGACAGTAGGTATTGCTCTTATTATTAGAAAAATGTAAAAATAAATAAAACATTTATTGTGTAGGAGAGAAAAGAAATGAAAATGCAGAAAACAAAAATATTTAAGTACTATGGCATAGACTATGTTATCACTGCTCTCCTACATCCCCCAAATAAGGGAAATTTGGCAAAGACCCAGAATTTGTGTCGGTGCAAGGAAATGTACAGTTTTAAACAAATTAAAATAATAACATCCCATAAGAGCTTTCAGCATTGGCACTATGAAAGAGAGACTGCATACATCCTCATGGGGTCGCTTACAGATTAGATAGATTTGCAGCAACAAAAAGAATCAGAACCAATTTTCTGTGAAATGTATTATGGGTAGAGAAAAGTGCAGCCTAGTTTTAATCTACTTGGTCTTTAATATATATTTTTTCACATATTTTATATGTACCATAAATATTCAAAAGATTATTTTACCCAATTTTCTGCAAATTCCTTTACAACATCAGTGATAAGGATCCTTGGCTTTTCATCAAAGACAGACAAGCTCATTTCAGTATTGTAGAAGGAAACTGCAATTAAAAATAAGGAGATTAATTTCATCGATTTAGTTCAAGAAATTTAATTTCTGTAAGTTTGGTTAAAATGCTCTTCAGTTTGAAGAAACCAAATAATGAAGTCTCATTCTTAAACTTTGTTTAATTTAGGTCCAGGCTCAAGAACCAGTACCTTCAGGTCCATATACAAAAAGCAAACCAGGATGTACCATCGGATTTTTGCTTTAATTATTTGGGCTGTTCCCTGACTTCTACACAATTGATAGACAATCTACAAATCCCCCAAATGTTGGTTTTCATTGGCCAACAGACTTCCAGTCCATTTAATGGCCAAGCTGAACATTATCTCACAAGTTCATTTGTACTGAGAAAATATTCATTTCTTCCTGTGTCCTTCTTTATTATTTTGGGGTTTTCTTTATTTCCTTCTTTCTCTTATCTGTACTATCAAATTTCAACTTTGGAATATTAAAAGTTGAATGAGTATCTATCCCATATTTGAATAATTTGGAAGCCAAATACTCCTTGGCCACAGATGAGCATTTGGAGCCAGCTGGAGGTAGAGACTGGACCTACATGAAAGGAATTCAAAAATAGCAAACTAGAATACTTTTCGGTGTATTCTGGTATGTGGTCAACATGTCAGATGTAAGGGCATATAATCCTCTTATAGGGAAGGGGATGAGGGTCCTGATCCATGTTCACATTGGCAGAGTCAGAGTGAGAGCATCAGGAAGAAAAGGATGGAAAGGAGGCTTGGGGAGGAGGGTATAGCTCAAGTGGTAGAGCGTATGCTTAGCATGCACAAGGTCCTGGGTTTAATCCCCAGTACCTCCATTGAATAAACAAACAAACAAACAAACAAACAAACCTAATTACCTCCCCACCTGCAAAAAAGAAAGAAAGAAAGAAGGCTTAGAAATGTCATACTGAGTGAAAAGGTACATTTGCATTACATTTCAATAAAGCAAAGGTAAGCAACACGGCTAGAGAATTCTATCTTTGGACAAGGTACCCACTGTCTGAAGATTGGAAACACCTGTACCTTCTTTTTCCCTTTCTGCTGTCAGAGAACTGGCTATCTTGGAGAACACATGTCCCATTATGCACGCATTCTGTTATGCCACACACATCGTGGAACATACCTTTGGACATAGCGGCAATAGGTGAAGTCAAAGTTTCCGTAGATAAAAAGGAAGGTGTGGAGTCCAGCCAGGTTGTCTCAAAAGACGAAAAGGGTAGTGAAGACACAGTTGCTGTAGAAGGATGTGTTACTCCAGTGGGTATAAGTGGAAATGAGGCTCCAGGAGCAGTGGATGTCATGGCAGCTGTGTTTAGAAGGGAGTCCTGTGTGGGCTTAGGAAGAACTAAATTAGGGGATGCTGATGCCGCTGGGATTCTGCTCCATGCAGACGTTGCTGTAGAGCTAGGGAGAAGCATGGAACCAATAGATAGGGTGTAGTCAATTGTAGGAGGTGACTTACTCATTCTGCTAAAGAATAGAGGTTGAGACACAGTCCTGGAGTCAGCAGTCACAGTGATTCTGGAAAATTCTTCGGGGGACTTGGAAATGTATGCACTGTCATCTGTGATTTTTATAGACATAGGGAAAGAAGTTGGGAAGCCAGTAGTGAGACTGCCCACTACAGGTGTAGGGATAGTTTTGGTGGGTATGGCACTTGAACCAGCAAAGGGTAGTATTGTAATGTTAGTGAACGGGTGTGTTGGTGTTATGTCAGAAGTCGGAACTGTGGATTTTGGCACCTCTTCAGTAGAGGAAGTTATCATGTGAGGAGCATTTGACATAGTTGCCAGAGGGGAACCTGAAGGGAGACTAGATAAGATCCAAGTCAGCATAGGTGAAGTAGTAACCTTTGAAATTATAGATCCTGAAGGAGCACCAGAAGGATGTGATGGGAGCGTTGTCCCAGGAGTTACAGATGTGGTTGTCTTCTCGAATGTGTGCTTAATGTCAGCCAAAGTAGTAAGGATAGATCTTGAAGATATTGACAATGAAGGGCTCTCAGACACCCCCAAGGTAGGAAGAATTCCTGTTGTGGAAACTGCTGACATTGCCATAACATCTCCAGACACAAGACCAGTCTGAGAGGCTGTGAGAGTTGACAAAGTCTCTGGAACAAGGTAAGAACTTTCTGTTTCCATCTTGCTAGGTGTTGGGATATGAGTAGTGGTGGAAATTGAAAATTGAGCTGTAGGTGTGTTCCAGGAAGTCGTAAGCAGAAGCTGGGTGTTACTAGATGAGGTTCTTGTTCCCAGAACTGGAAATTCAACCATTTGAGATGTAGGAGGAAGGGAAGTCTTTGGAGAGGAGAACTCAGCTTCAGGACTATGAGGTGAAAAAAGAAGCGACGTCAAAGAGGGTGGAGTTGTACTGGATGGAATCCATGGAGGGTATGAAACAGGTGTGTTCACAGACATGGCACCTTTTGTTAGTTCAGCCGTTGAAGTATTTTCTGACAAAGAAGTCGTCTTTTCCGTATTCGAAGAAAGGTAAATGGTGGCTTTTACACTTTTTGTGGGTCCAGGAGTGCTCTTAAAGCTAGTCAAAGATGGAGAAACCTGAATATTCAAGGAAGTATGGAGATTTTCTGAAGGAGTAGATGAAAGCACACTTTCAGAGTCAACAGGCCTGGAATAAGTATTTGTAAGAGCTGTCACTTTACCATTGTTCACAGTAGCTAGAGAGCTGTTAGAAATCCCAGATAATATGCCCAGAGTGGTAGCCTCATCTCCTTGGGGTAATTGTTGGGTTGTTGATAGAAATGGTGAAAATGTGGTCTTTGGAATGGAAGAAATAGCTTCAGTGTTCTTAGAACTGAGTAGAGAGGAGGCAGTGGTGCCTATGAATGGAGTCACTATCTCAGCCATAATAGTGGTTGGAATGGTTTTCACAGAGGGAAAAGCTGGCTCTGTCGAGGAGGAAAAGGATGTAGGTGTGATCCTGGAGGACACCTCTGTTATTTCTGAGGAAGTGAAAGCAGAGGAAACCACTGTGGTTTTTAAAGTAGGTCCAGCATATGTCCCAGGTGTGACATCCAATGCCGATGTTTGTGTGGTCCTGGAAGTCCTAGGGGTAATTGCAGACAATAAAGTATAAAACGATCCAACCATTGTGGAAGCATCAGAAGAAACAGCTGGAGGTGAGAGAGAAGAGGCATGAACTGACACTGAGGACATCTCAGACATAGGCCCAGAAGTGACTGCAGAGGAACTTTTCCAACAATCCGGGTGTGCTGTTTCGCAAGATTTAGTTGTTGGTGCTGCGGGAGTGTCCGAAACTCTTTTAGAGGTGAAGGCAGTGACATGAACCGGCAGTGGGGACATCTGGTAGATACGAATGGACGTTGCCATAGAGCTTCCCCCACGGAGAGCTGCGGGTACATTCGGAGTGGAAAGGGCAGTAGCGACCCTGTCAGGGCAGCTAGCTGTGGGACTGGCACTAGAGAGCCGAGCTGTGGAAAGAGACAGGGACTGGGGGGAGGTCTGTGTGCTTTCAGAAATGAAAGAGGCAACCGAAGACACATCAGCTTGTGTCCTAGGTGAAAGCAAGTGTGAACGAGTTGCGTTGATGTTTATAGAATTTGATATTCTGGTGGTCCTGGAAGTTACAGGCTCTACAAATGAAGTATCCTGGCGGTGTGAGAAAGGGTGGGTCACAGGGGTGGGGCTTACTATTGTTTCTTCAGTCCTGGGGATATATACTGAAGGGACACTCAGGCTTTCTTTTTCAGGAGACAAAAGTGAGGTGATTGTCAGAGATTGTGTAGGGAGAGCTGTTTTCCCAAGACCAGTAGACATTTCTGAAACGTGGACATCTACTGTGTTCCTTGAAGTCGAGGTAGGTATAGTCTGTGTACCCCCAGAAGTGGGAGATGAAGCCGAACTCCTGTTAGGTGGAGTCACAAATGGAATCCCTGAATGTGAATGTGCTTGATGACTGGAAACTTCTGTGGTCTCAGAAAATCCTGTATCTGTCATTTCTAAGGATGATGTAGTGTGGAAGACTGAAATAAAAAGATTACTTGGTGGGGGCATGTCTGTCATCTTTGGAGTTCTAGGGGTCTTTCCCAGGAAGGTGGTCATCTGCTCTTTGCTAGAGGATAAGGTAGAATCGTCAGTCACTAATAGGGTGGGGACCCGTGTGTTTACAAGACGTGTGGAAGGTTGAGAGATGTACCCATCTCCTGAAGTAATAAGCTTGTTGGCAGAGATGTGTGAGGGCACGGTCTCATCAACAACAGAAGTTTCTGTGGTGCCAGTAGCCAAGCCAGCATCTCCACTACCACTGAAAGTATATGGAAAGCTCAGAGCATGGGTAGAAGTCTCCTCTGCTTGAGATATGGGTTGGGTTGCTAATGGTGTAGACAGACTTGAGGTCACATGAGTGGAGGACACCACAGGAGTGTTGTCAGGCGGAGATTTAGAGCAGGCAAGTATTGGTCTGGAAGGGGTTACTGTGTCAGCTGAGGTGGAGAGAAGGGTGGTCTCAGCCTTAGTTGCCACAGGAGTGGGAGGTCTCAGCGAGGGGATGAGAGTCTCTGTCAGAGAGGGCACTGGTGTGGGTGTCATCCTGACAGAGATCACTGTGGCCTCTGAAGCCGTGTGAAGAGAGTCTCTGTGGGTAGGTATGGTGTCGCTGGTGGTGGAAGCAGTCTGATCCAATGGTGGCACCGATGCTGTGGTCACCACAGCTGATGACACAGTTGAGACATCTGAGGGCAGAGATGTGGAGGAAGCCCTGGCCAGTGTAGAAGGCTCAGGCGTGACAGCCTTAGTCTCCTCAGACACCACCATAGAGGCAACAGCAGAGACATGAACTGGCAGGGAGAACATATGGGTACTAGGCACAAGGGGTGCTGAGGAATGGCTAGCTGCAGGCTGTGGAGGGAAGGATCCAGCAGACAAGGACACAGCTGTCCTGTCTGTAGGGATAGTGACATAACTCGTCCCCAGTGTGGTGGAAGCATCCAGGGGTTTGGGAAGTGACTGTGTGCTCCCAGAAGTGGGAGATGGAGTTGGATTCCCCTTGGGTAGAGTCTCTGAAGTCCAGTTTGCTGTGTAGATGTGGGTGGAATTAAAGATTTCTGTAGTTCCATTGTATGAACTCTTAGGTGTGGTTTTTACCAATTTTGTAGAAAACCAACTTCCTCTCACCTCAGTAGTTGCAGTTTTGTTATCCAACCGAGCAGTCAGCTCAAGAAAAGGGGAAACAGATTCATCTGTTGCTTCCAGCATTGTTGCAAATGGAGAAACCTCGGTTGTAGCTGCTGGAGTCAATTTTCCCGTAAGATAGTGGGAAGTTGTTTCTTCCCTTGTCACAGGAGTCTTGAATCTTTCTGTTGTTGCAGACTCTGGTACAGGGTCTGTTGTCTCTCCAAATGCAATTATACCATTTGTCTCTGTTTGTGTGTTCTCAGAAGCACTCTCCTCAGTAGAAAAATTCGGTTCAATGTCAGCAAGGGTAGATACTATATCTACTGGCAGAACAACTGTCTCCCTTGGTGTTGAAAGAAGTTCATTTTCAGCTACTGTGGACGTAGGAGTGGTTTTTAGTAGTAAAGTGGTAAGTTTACACTCAGGCAGTTTGGTTACAGTTGTGGTTCCAGTAACTGTGGAGAAGTTAGCAAACCTTGGAGATGTCAAATTGGATAGAACTGTTGTATGTCTGTCTGTGGTAGCATCAGTGGTAGTGGTAGCCTCATTCTCTGTGGATGTTTCTGGTGGGATGATAGTATTAGTATTTGTGGATGCATGTTCTGTATTAGAAGTACTCCCATGGAATGCTGATGTCAACAGGGTCTGGTCCGGCCTGGAAGTCCAAGTGATCTCATTGGTAGAAGGTAGATGGTCATCTTCATCAGTTATTGATGTGGGACCAGACTGAAATGCCTTGGATGTGGAAGCTGATTCAGTGGAAATCAAAGGAAGCATGGTCTCACCACCTGTGGGTGTATTCTGGGTGTATACTGGCCCAGTGATTGTGGGGGAAAGCATAGTTTGGGCCACCATAGGTGCAAGTGTGACTCCAGGAGTCAAGGCTGTGTGTGTAGTCTCAGCATCAATAACTGTCTGTACACTCTGAGCTCTGGTGAATGGAGACCATGTCCTGAAAGAAAGGGCTATAGAAGAGGCCTCTTTTGGCGTGGAGGTAGATACTGTATCTTCCACTCTGGGTGAAGAGACATCCTGGAAATTTATAGATGTCGATTTTGTTTCAGCTGTTCTTAACGCAGGTGTCATCTCAATAGACTTAGTAGGAAAAACTGTAAAGGGTATTTCCATATCAGTTGTTGCCAACATAGATGCTGTCTGATTTCCAGGAAATACAGAATCCACTGGAGTGGCTGTAGAGATGAGCACAGACTCAGGTGGCAGTGTTGATGCAGTCCCAATGTGAGTAGTTGTAGCTGAGGTCTGTTTCACGGTGCACCAAGGTACACTTCCAGAAGCTGTAGATGCCCCAATACCTGTGGATTTGTGTTTGGGCCGAGATGTTGTAGGCATGGATGTGGACTCAATAGATGAGAATAAAGATGTTGTCCTCATAACAGCCGACTGAGATCCAGTTACTGAAGTTTTGGATACAGTTGAATTCTTGGTAAATTCAGATGTGTACAGGAAATTAGTAGCTACAGTTGGATGAAAGGTCTCAGTAGTAACGGATTCAGCCATTCTTGTTGTCCTTGTGCTCTCTGAAGATGTGGATTTAGTTATTTTCGCAGAATTGGTAGTAGGGCCAATGGAAGTACTCTTGGTAGACAAAGCAATGGCTGCTGAAGTAGGCAAAATGTCTGCTGCAAATGTAGCTGTCTCAGCTATGGGTGTCTTTAAAGAATTTGGTGTAGTCATTGTTTCCAGAGGTGGAGATATTGTATTGGAATACGATCTAGTTGTATAATCGGTTGCAAATACAGGCATGCTTTTAGACGTCATTGTGGAAAAATAGACAGTCTTTTGCAGTTTTAGTTCAGTAACTTGGGATGGAGTTGTCAAATCTATTTGTTGCGAAAGAGTTGTACTTGTTTCTTGAATTGTTATATTTTCATAAACAACTGAAAAATTACCAAGCATGTGTTATTTTGGATTCAACTTTAGAGGTCGGAGACAATTCTTTAAGGAAGAGCTCTATAATTTTTTTTCATATTTTTAAAAGGAAAGAAGTATCAGATATAAATCAAATCATGTGATTACAGTTGACCCTTGAATAACAGGGTTTGAATCGTGTGGGTCCAGTTATACACAGATTTTTTTCAATAGTAAGTACTACAGTGCTAAATCCACTGTTGGTTGAATCCTTGGATATAGAAGAGTAAATATGGAGAAACCACAGATACAAATTGTGTTGGGGTTTTCACTGGTCAGGAGAGTTGACTTTCCTTACCCTCGCTTTGTTCAAGGGTCAACTGTACTTAGCTTTTCTTAAGATGATATTCCACTTTCCAAAATCTATATATGGTTCTCATAATGTCCTGGTTAAGTAACAAGTAGGACATCCATTCCATAATGTCTCCACTAAAAAATATGGGCACTCCTAAAAGAGGGGTGCATGCTAGAGTAGTACACTGATTAGGAGGACTAACTTTGGAAAATGAACCGATTTCTTGAAAGCCACAATTTATCAAAACTAACTTAAGAAGAACTAGGTAAGTTGAAGAGTTCTATATCTATTCCAGAAATTGGATTGTGTAATTAAAATCTTCCAAAAAAGAGGACCAGCTTTGGATTCAAATAGATGTATTTTTAAATCCTGGCTCACTCACTTATTCATTATGTAATCTTGGACTAGTTACTTAACCTCACTGTGCAGCAATTTCCTCCTCTGTAATATGAGATAATAACACAGACCTTAGAAAATTGTTTGGAGCATTGACTTAATGCATGTAAAACACTTAGCATAGCATCTGGCACACAGTAAGTGCTCAAAAATGATTACCTGTTGTCAAATCTCTATCACTCGTCTCAATACTATCAATCGAAAATGTTTTGATCTGGAACCTTAAGATTAAAATTTCTTAAACATATGCCATTGATGTATATACATTTATCAATAACGTATACAAATATATATAATAAATTTATGTTATGTACATTATAAATATACACAAAATATAAATGGCAAAATAACATGATAAAAAATAAATATAAATAGAAGTTTCACAATATTTTCTCCTTGCACTCTAATGTATTGTCTGAGTACCCCTAGAATTGTGCACCCCACTTTGAAGACTACTGGAGCCTAGCTCATGTCTCAATTCAAGTCCAATTAAATGTAACAAATATTGTGACTTCTATTCTAGGTCCTGTGAGAACTGCATAGTTTATGGCATGATTTCTTCCTTTAAAGAGCTCACATGCTTACTGGAAAAGTCTTACATTATTGAAATATTTTTAGACAAAATATAACATAATATTTTTTAAACAATAAAAACACAATAAAATAATATAGTTTATAATAAAGTGAATAATGGAATATACTCAGGTTTCACACGTCTCTAAAGTATCATCGGAGATCAGTGCACTGGCTTCAAGCTAATGAGGAAGCTTTCTCTTAGAAGACTTAGGCTTTTTGAGAAATGATGGAGTTTGGGTACAGAAGGCAAGCACATGTAGCAATGAATAATGGAGGTTGTGAAACAGTCTAGGTGGGAGGGACTCTGTTGGATAAGGGTGAGAAAGAACGTCCAACTAGGATGAGACCTGAAGGGAAGGGCGGAGAGACAGCTAAGAGAAGACAAAACAGCAGCTTGCCTGTACTTACTACAAGCCAAGAACTATGCAATTTGCTATCTCACTTAATGCACCTAACAACTTTATAAGGTAAATATTACAATTACCTACATTTTAGAGTTGAAGAAACTGTCAGAAACTTTACATGAATTGCTCAAATTCACACTCGAATTTCAGACCAAGATCTATCATCTATGCTCTTAACGACTACACCATTTGGAAAGATGTAAATTCTTGAGCAAGGAGAATGAGTTGATAAAAAGTAGTCTTTAAAGGAAATGAATTTTGTGGCAGTGTACATGATGGGTAGGGATGGGAAGAAACCGAAGGCAAGGAGACTCTTTAAGGCACTGATAAAGTCCTCTCCCCAACCGCAGTCCCACCAACTGTAGGCTAACCCAACGATCCATTGCCTCCATATCTGCATTAGAGCCGCCACAGTCACACAGGAGGATGAATTACTGTTTCTATAAATTCATGATCACCAAACTTCAAAGAAGCTTTTCACACTCCTCATCCAGCCTACTACTTTTATCTGGTCAATGTATGCCTCTACACTCTGCAATAAGTATTGAAAATCTTCCCCACTCTCAAACTTTACCCTCTCATCTTTGTCAAGTAGCCATACCTCTGACTTCATAGGAAAAAACAATGGAAGTCATCAGATAGCAACTTAGCTGTGCTACCGTCTCAGAAAGCTCACACCAACCGTCATCCCTCCTTTCCCTAAGGAGCTTTTCCCTCCTGATTTAAAACATATTCCAGTCTCTTGAAATAAAAAATTAAAACCTTACATCCCTTTGCGGTACTGCCCTATGACTCTCCTTCCCATCACACCCAAACTTCTTTAAAGAAAGTTTATCTATAATGGCTGTCTCCATGCTCCTCTGACCCATTCTTTAGCTCACAGGAATCAGTCTTCTGCCATCATCATTCAACTGAACAGCATTCACTAAGGCCACCAATAGCCTCCATGTAGATAAATACTATGCATACTTTTTCAGTCCTCAGCTTACTTGACCTTCCAACAGCTTTTGTTAATGTTGATCACTCCCTCCTTCTTAAAATGCTCTTTTAGTTGACTTCCATGATGTAATGCACTCTTGGTTTTTCTCCTACTTCTCTGGCCACTCTTTCTGGTTATTGCCTTTGCAGACACATCCTGTTTCAACTGGTCATTAAATATTAGGGATCCCCAAAGCTTGGTCCTAGCACCTCTTTTTTTCTCACTCTATAGTTTTTCCATGCCTTGGATTCCAGTTTACACCTATACAGAGAGAAATCTCTAAGTTCTATCTCTAGACAAGATCTCTATTCTGAGCTCCACATTTATATAACCTATTGCTCACTTGACACCATCTCTTGGATATCTCATTAACATCTCAAACTCAGTATGCCCCAACTTGAACTTTCTCTAAACTGGGTCCTCTTTCAGTATTCCCTCTGTGAATGGTTCCATCATACATTCTATTGTGCAAGCCAAAACCTTCTCCCTCTGTCTCCTTCATGTTCTTTCACCTGCTATAGCCAACCCATAATCTTGTCCTGTGTATCTTATCTCCTAAATATCTCTTGACTCCATTTGTTTCTCTCCATCTTTTTGAAAATTTTATTTATTTATTTTTAATTGAAATATAGTTGATTTACAATCTTGTGTTAGTTTCTGGTGTATGGCATAGTGATTCAGTTATACATTTTTATATATAATCTTTTTAATATTCTTTTTCATCGTAGGTTACTACAAGTTATTGAATATAGTTTTCTGTACTATACAGTGGGACCTTGTTTGTCTCTTTTATATATAGCAGCGTGTATCTGCAAATCTCAAACTCCTCGTTTATCCCTCCCTCCTTCCCCCTTTGGTAACCGTAATTTCATTTTCTATGTCTATGAGTCTGTTTCTGTTTTGTAAATAAGTTCATTTGTGTCATTTTTTCAAGATTCCACATATAAGTGATATCATATGATATTTGTCTTTCTCTGTCTAACTTACTTCACTTACCATGATAATCTCTAGGTCCATCCATGATGCTGCAAATTCATCTTTATCACTTACTGCTCTGACCAAACCATCATCAGTCTCTCACCTGGAGTACTACAGTAGCTTCCCAACTAGATTCTGCCTCTGCTCTTGGGCCCCTCCAACCTGTTCCATAATGCAATCAGAATGATCTTTTTTTGACATGTAAATTCAATCTTATCTCACACACCACCTTCACAAACTCAGCTCCCTTTAGTGGCTTTGTATTACTCATAGGATTTAAAAAAAAACTTTCTTAACAGAGTAACAGAGCCTATAAAGCTATGCATGGTTTGGTCCCTATCTACCTCTCCAGGCTCAATTTGTACTAAGTTTCTCCCTTGTTTTCTGGCCTTCAGCCCATCAGCCCTGTTTTACTCCCCCAATACTTGGCATTCTTTTTCTTACTACAACACCACTGTGCGTGTTGTCACCTCTCATAGAATGATCTTCCCACCCTTCTTCAGCTGATTAACTTCTGTTTATCCTTCAGATCTCAGCTCATGCATCACTTCTTCAGGGAAGACTGCCTTCCTTTGCCTCCATAACTAGGTCAAACCAATCTATTCTAGGCTCTTCTGACATCACATACCCCTTCTTCATAGTGCTTGTCACAGCTGCAGTGTTACATTTGTGTGTGCTTATTAATGTCTGTCTTCCTCACTACACTGTATGGACAAGGACCTCATCTTTCTTTGCTCATTCACCATTGTATCCCTAGTGCCTAGCACAGAGCCTGGCACGTGGTAGATGTCCAATAAATATTTACAGGCTTACTGAACAAGTGGAAATGATGACGGCTTGGAATGAGATGAGAATAGCATGGGGACAGGTTCTGTTACAAAGATGTATAAGAGATGAAGAAGACAGAGAAATCTCAGAGAACTCAACTTTTGCTTTTGGGCCACCTGGAGAAAAGTGCTGATATTCATAGATATAGGAAAATTGGAAAGGCAGCCTCACTTGGAAGAAAAACATCCAGTTCAGGCTTAGGAAAGTGGAATTTGAAATGATGGGTGGAACATCCGAGTGAAAATGGTGCATAGTAAAATTCAAGACTGAGTCACAATTTTTCTCCAGTTCAAATCGCCCAAAATGAAATCATGCATATTTACAATTGGGAAATTAGCATTTTGAATTTATCTACCTGGGAAGCATAATATCTATGGTGCAGGAATAATTATGGTGTAGACAATCTACGAGCTTGTTTCACTGTCTTGAGCATTAAAATTACTTTTAATTTGCATATGTAGGAATTCTGAGATGTCTGTGGGATATTCTTTGGGATTTTGTGATCATTAGCAA